GAAGAACTCGTACATGGTAACAGTGCAGCCCCTACAGCACCACATGAACTCCATCTGCACACGAATTCTGGCACACAGCCTGCAGGCCCCCCCAGCCTCCTGACAGTGTCACACTTCAGGGTGCAAAAATTTACCAGAAAGGCAAAATCTGAACTAAGAATGCAGCAGCTGCTACTTCAAGGAAATAGGGAAGTTGTTCCATAGCTGTGTCTGAAAAAGATGCCTTTCTTCTAACTCATTGAAACATTATGCAAAGCTGTAGTTAAAGAGATGGAAAGATTGGGGACGTTTGGCTATTTGGGAAGCAGGGAGGTTGAGGGTCAATGAACCTCACAGATGTCACACAGACCTCACAGAAAGGCACACAGGAGAAATGACTAATTCTACTTCTCATTTCCAAAAACTCCCATAGAAATTCTGAGTACTGTCTGATCTATATGGTGTGGCTTCTCAAAGGAAACCTCCAAATCTTGTCTCATAAAAACACGTGTGGCTCCTGTTCACTGAGGCGGGATTGCAGACAGTGCTCAGGTAGCATTAGGTTCATTAACCCAAGATTAGGTTCATTAGCCCAGGAAGATCATAAAGAAATATCTCCTTAGCTGGAGAAGACACGGAGGAACATCTGCTGTCCTACAGCAGGGTGAGTCACACACCTTCCCCTGCCCGTTCACAAGGGAACAGAAGATGGAATAGAGCAAGGTGGGTACCTGGGGTGTGCCCAGGACTACGCTTTGCTGTGCTGGACTTCACTGTGGGGCTGAGCACAGCACAAGATTATCTGTTCCTCAAAAAAATGAAGAGAAAAAACGACAGGAATATCAGCTCACAGCTCTGTGCATCCTTCTGCCTTCAAAACACAGAGTGTGTGATCTACTATATATCTGCACTTCTATGGCTTGGAAATAATATTGTGTACAAATTTCTAGAACAGGGAGGTTTGCTTTAAACTACAGAATACTACAGGCAAACAGCTCTAAAAGACAAAATTACTTTCTTGTAATTACTTTCTTCTTCTTAAAATTGTCCATATTAATTTTTGAAAAAAATTTTTCTGCCAGTCAGAACATCATGCACTGAGAGTCTTAAATCTTTGCATTATTCCCATCATGTCATGTACCTCAAGTTCAATTACTCACATTCAGGAGGGCTCATTTTAATTCACATTACTGATTATTCGAAGAAATAGGGGTCTTTGTTTTAATATTAGATTTTAAGAAGGAGCATCATTTCTCATGTAAGTTAAGTAAATGCAGCTGTTGACTGATAGAAAAATTAACAAGGTCATACTGCTCTCTAATTCTTTAAATCTGGTCCTTTGCTCTATATCTCTGCCTCATCAGCTCTTCATCTCTTTTTCAAATCTCACTGGAAAACTAATTTCCCCCTTGCCTCTACTGCGTGGTTATTTTCTCATTTTTATTTATTAATTCAACCCTAAATCACACTGGAATGGAGGAAAAGTAATATCTGACATCCCACATATCCTGTCCACTCCCTGTCCTACGGAGGTGGGTGAAATCTTCCATGTGAAAACAGCCTGGGAGCTGCAAATTGAGTCACCCAACAAAATGAGGTATTTTGCCAAAGGCACTTGGCTTCAGTGTAAATTTAATCAAAAGACAAGAAAGCAAAGAAATACCAGCCAGCCCCTCCCTCCCTCCCCTCCCTCCCCAACATCTTGATTCAAAAGATATTCTCTAGTTTCTCTATTTAGAGACATTGCAGTGCCTTGCATATTGCTTGGGCACATTCCATTAAAATCTCTCCTCCACGGACAGGCTCCCTTAGCTAATTAGAGATTTTCTGGTGAGTAACAAAGTACAGTCCAGCTGGTGTATTGGGGCCACAGCAGAGAGCAAACAATACAGCTGCTGATACCTCCACAGCTTGGAATGCTTGATCCAGCTCTGGGGGAGCGTCAATTTTGGATGATTAACTCTATGGGTTTGGGGAGAAAAGGGGAGGAATAAGCATTTTGCAGTTCAGCTGCACAACCTGAAGTGCAGCTGCTATGGTTTAACCCCACTGAATTCTGTTTCCTCTCCCATGAGGAATTCCTGCAGAAGGACTCAGCGTCATGACAAGCCTCTAACAAGGCCGGATCTTATCCCGCTCCTTCATCTATCTCAAACATGCAACCTTTGTAATGGGAGGAATCCTGCAGATAGTACAGGCTTTGGTCACTGACTGACAGCTTTAGAGTAGAAAAGTTAATTGCTATTAGCAACAAAACTGAGATTATATTGGTGCCCAGGAGAGATTTTTTCCTTTTAGAAATTGTGGGCAGTTTGGGGATGAAATCAAGGGATTATAAAATATAATGTATAGACAACAGACTGCACAATGGGGCAGACATCCAGTATCAACAGAGAGAATTTGCAGTGTTTACTCTCTGAAGAATCTAAAGGAGGTCTGTGAAGAAATGGTTTTATAAGTACATCTCAGATCTCAAAGGGCAAACATTTAACTGAGTCTTTGTGTGTTACTGTAAAGGTTCACTTCTCATTTAAGGTGACAAATGTTGCCAACTGTAAAGGTTGCAGAATTATTCATAATCTGCCTGAAGTAAGGTATTTCAACTACCAGGCCTCAACATCAAGTATTATTTCAGGATCCTGATATTCTCTCTCTGGTTATATCACACAACTACTCAAGCAGTGGAAAACCTCTTCCCTTTGCCCTGACAGAACTCACAGCACCTTGGACTGAATGTCTAGGAATTTTTGTTCTCCTCACAGGTCAAATCAGCTCTAATTCTGTCCTAGGCCACTTTATGTTCACCACATTTTTGACCCAAAAGCTGCAGAAGGAACTGACCTCTTGTCACACAACAACCACCTAAAAATGTACCAGTGTATTCATAAACAAGAGACTAAAAATCTGACCAGCCATCCAGAGCTAACTGGCAGTGGAACTTTGTTGTTGTCACAGGCTTTTCCTTTTACAGCTAGAAAGCCAAACTATATTTGGTTATGATTCTGAGTGTTTCACAGTAATCCACTGAATATTGTTTTGGATATGCATGGGAAGATGCATCTCTGTGTTCACCATCACTGATTTGTCTTATGGCACTGATGGGAACTGCCCCATTTTGGGGACTGCTTACAGTTTATTCCACAGCTATTTGATTTCTGAAGCTTACATATCTTTCAGGAAACTCCAGGAACCCATGGCAGGATATGACTTTCACTTATAACCCACAAAATTCCTACTGGTTATAATTGAAAGCAGACATGGTCCCTTAATGTACTGCCCAGTGACATATTGACAACTTTTCAAATGTCAACAAGGTATCTTAAAAGAAATAGCAGTAAATACTTGTAAAACTTTAGAATCCTGCTAATTCTTCAGTTTCCCAAAGTTAATGAACTGATATAATCAGATGACTTTGGAGGATTGAGGGTTTGTATTTGCTGGAGCCATTAATTTTCTTACATTGTATATCAGAATAAACCCTCTTTTCTTTATTAAACACAAATGACAGTTAAAAAGGGATAAAGACTGCAAAAGCTGTTCCATTTTTCTGCCTAGTGTGTTTATCAGTAAGGTTTCTGCATTTCTCCTAACTCCCTAAGACATTAACAAAATGTCTGACCTTTTCACACCTAACATGTTCTTCAGCTGCAGCAGCATTTTTTACTCTCCACTACAGGGATGCCTTTGTGGCAAATTCATACTAAATCCAGCAGACAATTACTTCACTTTCCTATTATTTCTTGTGGGTATGCAACAACATCCCCATTTTGTCACCTCTGCTGAAAACATGAATGCCAAGAGCCCCTCTCTGAGGTTCCTGGGAAGCCTGAGGGGTCACAGTTTCACTTGCTAGAAACACCCTGACAGGACACAGACTATGCTGTTTAATTCACAGCTCCAAGGTGAGGAAGAGCTGGAAGATGCCAGTAGTGCATTTACCTCCCCACATCCAAGAGGGGAGAGAAGCAGTTAGAAAATACTCCCATATTTCCAAAAGGTGGAAAGAGAAGGTGCTTGGTAAAAACAGAGAAGAGTGGTTCAAACTGGACAAAGCCTGAGCATGCAGTCTTGCTGCACACCGGGCCAGGCTAGGTGACATCTGGATCTCAGAGGAAAGCCCTTTGCCATGTCACTCAGCAGGGCAGCTATTGATACAAACTACTGATAAAGGATTTTAATAAATATATAGAGAAGCTTTCTCATTTTACATCCATACGAAAGGCTATGGATCTTTGGAGCTGTTCCTCTTCAACTGAATAAAACCTCCCAATTTCCTGTGCTCAGCACCAACAAACGGAGCGCAGGGAGTTCAGGTCATACTGTGGCTGACCATGGCAATGGATTAAAACCTGCAGGACTTACACCAGTGTAGGAAAGGAGGGCTTCCTTGCTTTGGCTCCCAAATATTCTGAGCAATCTGCCCTCTCCCTCTAGCACCACTATTTAAATGGTTTGGATTTCTTTCCCAGTTTACCCTTTTTTTCTGCATCATTAAAGCTGCACCATCTCAATAGAGAAGTGCAGTCAAGGAAGAAAATCCTCAGTGATTTCCAGAGCCTAACATCCCCAAATCTTACTTTCATGACTTGGCCTGTATTTCTGTCATTTAAGCACAGATCATCGCTTTATTTAGCAAATGAAACCACGTTCCCATTCACCTTAATTCTGCTGCTTCAGGGTCCCTCTAATGAGACATTTTTAGAGTCCATAAATGAAAATATGCTCAAGCATATGATCCATTTACCCATGTTAGTAAATGTAGCTACTATGAGAAAAGTATATATACGGTCTGCTTGCTGTTTTACTTGATTCTGATGTGAAACAAGACAGTCATTAACAAGTTACAAGTAAAGCAACAAAAAAAATTCAGTGCAAAATAGAACGTCTACTTTAGCATTCATAGCATTGTGTGTGGGATCAAGTGAAAAGTTTAAAGTGTTTTTTAAAAAAATACTATTAAAAATACGAAACACATAGCTCTTTAGGATCTGAGGTTGGGTGATGCTGTAAGCGAGACCTACTTTCTCATAGTACTTGATCTCGTAGTCCAGAATTGCTCCATGGGGAAAGTCCGGCTCTTGCCAGGAGAGGGCAATGCTGTTTTGGGAAGCCCAGTCCTTCCTTACCATACCTATCAAGGTGGGTGCTGAAAGGGAAAAGGATAACTAAGGGTTAAAGACGAAGCACACGGTTTATCCTTTCAACCTACTGTCCGAGGACACCAACCCCGGGTGACCGCGAGTGACCTGCAGACAGCAAAGCATGACAGATGGCAATTCCCAGGGGAACCATTTCACCTGGAGGTCATGTCTCAGGTACACACTGCTGACTCTTTTGCTGAAGTGCAGAGCAGCTCCTGGAAAACGTCTGCATGCAAAAATACAGAAAGAAACGCCTGTGCTGGTCCCTGCACGGGCTGGGCACGGCCGGGTCGCACTGCTGGCTCCCAGGACACGGTGTCCAGGGCAGGACCACAGTTCAGAGACACTAAACCCTACATGCAGGTCGATCTTCGTGCAATGGTATAATCCCACTGCGTACAATGAACATCCAGGGTTTGCTCTTTGGGGTAAAATGAAGCGACGCAGTTTAAACCCGGGACGATGGATCCCGGTCGTGCCAGCGGGGCTGGCAGCAGCAGGGCCCTCCTGCCCTCTGCTGAGGGGCTGTGGGCACGGCAGAGCCAGCCTGGCAGGCACTGAGTTAGGGGCAAACTAGGGGGCCAAGGTGCCCCCAAACCCCCCTGCCATAGGTGGGCTGGCACTGCCTCCAGCAGCCTCTGGCATCAGCGTGCGTGGATGCACCCAAGAGCCCAGGGAGCTCACTGCAGGGTTTACCAGTTTTAACAAACAGTTTTTCTGCCCTTCTGGGAGAGAACATACAGGGTTATCTATGCAGTAACTTCAGATGGTGCAAAAACTGCGTTCTAGAAAGCGATCTTTGCTTATTTTATTGGTCTGGTCAAGCGTGTCAAAGGAGGTCCAATAACCTCCAGATGCTGATGCTGTTTGAACAGTATTGATGTGCAGCCTTCCCAAATATTACAGGAAAACCAGTCATGTTGTTCAACAGCCACGAACACAACTGAGTAAGCTGAACAAACCAGTTACCATAACTGGCTCACAGCTTTCACTACCGTCTTTCCACCAAAAAATATCAGTTTATTACACCCCTGCCCCCATTCCTCTCTATTCTGAATTTTACTTAACTTCTTCTAAGTTTCCATGGAGCTCTCTCCTAAAAATAACACATTTTTCTATCTTCTGGTTTTGTCTTTTGAATGAGAGAGTCTCCCTAGAAATAAGAACCTGCTTCTAAGCACAAAATTTCATGCCTCAGTTTTCTTTCCTGTAAATATTTCAGGAAGTTTACAAAATGGAAACAATAAATAAATTCTAGAACGGAAACAAACACTGAAGAAAACCAAGTTGATTGTTTGTCTTTGAAAAAAGGGCAACTCTACACACAGACATGCACCTCTTTCTCTGTGATAATGTGCTATCTGAGAGAGAAAACAAACTTGCATCCACTGTCTCTCCTCCCTTTGGGTAACTATTCTGTGGGATAATAGTCCTGTCCTCTCTGATGTGAGAAAAAAACAACTCAACATGTGATACCAAATGAAAAAAACCTACCAAAGTGCTAAGTGGACAACACAGAGCTTACACAGGAAACTGTTTTACCCTTGTGCTTAATGCCAATTTAACCACAGGTCTGAGAAAAAAAAAGATTTCCTGCCATGCTGAAAAAAGGATGAACTCAGTTTTCAGGAAATCCTTAAAAAGCATAATGTAAATAACCAAACAGAATAAAATACAAACCAATAAATGAGAGGCATTTATAGGATTTGGACCACAGTGTAATCCCTAGGACAGATTGTTGATATAACATGTCTTCAAATTATGACCTAACCCCCATAAGCTTTCCATATGTACTCAAAACAGGGATTTTGCTTTGTGTTCTGACTCCCAAATGTGTTCAGTGATTTCTGCATGTCCTCAGCCTGAGCTCAGGGCAGTAACTCCTCCGTTTGAGGAACTGCCTGTGTAAGCACAGTCCTGGCACATCAGGAGGTCCTCTCAAAAGTTCAGGATAAGGAAGAACCCAAGTGTGCTTCCTGGGAAACAACTCAGTAGCAAATTAAGGCAAGTACATTATTTTGGATCTCTCCTAAACCAGCTGTGTTTGACCTGCACTTGGAACTGAACCCCCCTACAGTAAGGCTCACATCACACCTGCACACACCCTGAATGCTCTACATCGAAATGCACACGTGTGTGGATAAGGCTGTGAATACGAGAAGCATTTGTGATTGTATTGGGGTACCGGTTAAAAAGAAATAAAAGTGTACTTTTTAACAAAAAGCCCCAAAAGATCCACCACAGCCCCTTTCTCAGCGGTGCAGAGTGATGCTCCTGCACTTGTCATGCAGGATTCCAGCAGAAAGGTGCTGTAGGAAGAAAGAGATGAATAAAGCCAAGTAATTAAAAGCTGCAGCCAGCTCAGTTTCTACTCCTCTTGCTGGGAAGGGCTGCTAAAGGCACTGCTTTCTGGGGAGAAATTCCTGCCTCTTACAACTGTTGCTCACTGGAGCAGAAGTCAATTAGACCCCAAAGATCCTATCTGGTTATTGTTAAAGCTCTTTATAACCAGATAATTTTGAAATAGGTAAATCCTATTTTCCCTTTCCTAAAGACTGCTCTAATGTTCCTATGATGAATCAATGGGAAGTTCTTTTAATTAGTTGTTTCAAATCCAGTAGCTGCAGGAGAACTCTAATTTGGTTACCCAATGAAGCCATTTGAAAAAAAATAAATGCTTAGAAGCTCTGCATGGCTTTTAATCACTTTAATGGCAGCATTTTCTTGCTATTGGTCCTGGGCTGAAGGGTGGTTTCTGGCTCTTGGGCTCAGCCCTGATCTGTGTTTTGCACTGAGCATTCTTTGCACCATCTGCTCTCTGTTTTCTTCCACACTGTTACAAATTTCTTGAATTACACGTAGTCATCTGCAATGAGGTGAGCTCCTCATTTAATTTAGTCTGATAAGTTTCTTGGTCATTTCAGATTTTTATTGAATAATGAAAGTTGATTCCTTATTTTATTGTTTTATTATTTCATTTTATTCCTATTTTGTTCTAAATTTTTTTAGCTTCACTCTTTCAGAATCCTTTTTCTCACATGCAATACACTGGACAGGAAAACTGTATTTTAAATGATGACTGGATTACAGAGTCTTTTCTCCAGAGATTTTCTCTTTTTCTGAAGATGACTTCCATTATCTCAAACTGTCTGATTCCCAAAGAGGTGATCTGTAGGGTTTCTGAAGCTTTTTTCCTTCAGAGCATTTTCTAACTTTATTTCTTTTTTCATCCTGGTTAAAGCAGGCAAAGAACTGCCAGCATTTGTCCCCCACTTCCAGGACTGAACAATTTGATAGGATGCCCATTTGTGATGAAGAGGCCTCAGACCCAGTGGCAGGGGATGCCCAAAGCTCTCCTGACACCTGTCTGTGCATGGAACACTCCACCCCTTGTCACCCCATTTCAAATCTGATTTCTTTGCTGCAGAGAAACCAAAGACGTTTCTACACCTCTGCCATTGCCAATAATAACGTGAATTGCACAATTACATGCCATTCTTTCCTTGAGGCCTCCACCTGCTTTGAGGTACAGGGAGGGGCAGACTCACCAAAACTGAGGGGCTTATCACAGCTTTTCTGCCAGTTGAGGGTGGAAGAGATATTCATGCTGTAAGGACTAATTTATGTTGACACATGGCTGTGTTTGTTAGTCAGAAAACAAAAGAAAACTTGTTTTCTTGTTCATTAGGAGGAAAAAGGACTATTTCAAGCTTATATCACAGGTTAATGGCACAAATCAAACCACTCAGTAAACTCTGCTTAACACTGTAGAAGTTATGGTTATCTAATAATGCCAGAGCCATTAAACAAAATGTTAGGAAATTAATGAAACAGAAGAGATGCACCAAGGTCCAATTTTCAAGTGCTTTTCTGGATGGCAAAAACACTCTTTGCACTTTTTCTATACCAGAAAATGCTATTATATTTATACAGTGTTTCACCAGCCTAGGTTCTGTAATTATATCATAATTCCTATCCTACTGGATCCTGAGTATGATTTTATATTATACATCGCAATAAAAAGAAGACTGAGATTTTATGAACGATCCCACACTCGAAGAAGAATGTTATTTCAGGGCACAGTGAGAAAAATATTGATTTTACTTCCAATTCTAGAAAGTCTATTAGGAAGGTAATAAGCAGTGAAAAGATGCTTTCTCAGAGGAGACATTTTACTCCAGGAACAGAACTGGAAGCGAAGCAGCAGCATTTCCTGGTCAGTGATCATTGCTGATGACATCCCTGGCACACAGGATGGGGCAGCTGACGGGAGTGTGGCTGTGCTGCCCATCACCCAGAGCACCTGCACCCCTGCTGCACCACCATCAGTCCTCCAGCAGAGATCAGCTCATCCTTTCCTCCTTCTGTGCTTGGCTGTTCATCTTTCTGCTGCTGCCTTTGCAGGATGAGGGAAGGCAGGCTGTGTAAAGAGCAAGCAGTGTGCTAGGAGGGCCTGTGTTTGTACTCTTTTCTGGTTGAGCCCTAGAGATTCTCTTTAATCTCTTGACTGAGCTCTCCTAACATACAGTGTGAATGTCAGTAACTTCCATCATGTGCAATACATGGCCACTTCTTTGTTAGAAGCGTGGGTTTGTGAATGCAAAAGAATAAAAACCAAGCACAAGTTTACATGGAAAAATCACAGAAATAGGAATAGAAATTAAAGTTTTAGAAAATACCCCGGTTCATACCCCATCTTTCTGTATATTAAAGGTACCCACACGGGTGAAATATCTTTGGGTTTATGCTGAATTCGGTAAGAATTTGTTTTCTTACCATACAAGGTTGCTTTCAGTTGGTACAAGGACCAGATAAGATATTTGATTCTTCACATAATAGAGTCCCTTATCTGTTTAATCATTTCAGTGGTAATTCACAGTTATAATGCTTGGAGGGCAGACTGTTAGTGGCACTAACCTTGGGGTTCAAAGTTGAGCGTGGTTTTTCCCTGACAAGGCATTACAGCCGGTAAATTAACAAGTTTGAAGTGAAAAAAAAAAAAAAA